AAATTGGTGCTTTTTCTGAAGGAGCATCCTCGTGATCCTGAGGAATACAAGTCACCGGCAGATCCCGTGGAGTATCCCAGCTTTTATGCGTGGCCGGAGTGGGAGGTGTTCCGTGACCGCTTTGATATCAAGGAGGTGCGGCTGGACCTTGGCGCTCTTGGGCATGATCGGCGAAAGCCCGCCACTCTGGGCACCAACATTCCACTGTTGTATGGCTTGGAGGGGCTTTCTGATCGTCGAGTTCGAGAACAGGTGATGGGAGTTGATGCACCGCCGAGGCTGGGCTGCGTGGCCTGAAAGGTTCAAGGAAGAAATCACCAAGGGCATCATCTTCGAGCTGGATGGAAAGGCGTTGAACTCTCCACTGACCAATGGAGGGCTCATGTACTTATATGATCACATTCCGTGTGCCCGGGAATCCACAACCTGTTTGAAGGGAGCTGGCAGGGGCCGTCCGCACCGCAAGGTGCCTCATCCGGATGCCATGACCCTCAGCCTTGATGTTTGTGGACCTTTCAGACCTGGGGAGGACTATCGCAAAAGGGCGCGCTACTTCCTTGTGGGTGTCTGTGCGATCCCAGTGCGAAAGACATCGGATGGGGAAGATCCTCCTGAGGATGTGGAAGGGCCCTTGCTGCCGGAGCTGGAAGGTGAGGAGCCGGAGGTGGGAGAAGGTGATCCAAAAGCCTTGGAGGAATGGGAAAGGCTGGAGGTGGAATCACAAGACGTCCTCATCAAGAACTACACCCTTGTGGAGACACTCACCTCACGTCATGCTTCCGAGCTCAAGTCTGGCATTGCTCGAATGGTGGCCCGGTTGAAGTATCTGGGTATGGAGGTCCGTCGCATCCACAGTGACGCTGCGGGGGAGATGCGATGCACAAAAAGGTGGTGTGAAGAGAGAAGCATCTACAGGACCTTCACTAGCGGCAGCGATTGGAAGGCCAATGGAAGAGCTGAAGCGGAGATTGGAATCATCCGCCGAAGCATCAACACTCTGATTCGCTCGTCGGGTGAAGGTGAAGAACAATGGCCATTGATGGCGAAACATGTGGGTGAACGTCGAGGACGCCTCCAATTACAAGCACTTGGCTTTACTACACCAGCTTTGCTGCCTTGGGGTCGGAAGGTCATGGTGACTACAAAAGGGTGGGATGATAATTCGAAGGGCACTGGAGAGCAAGAAAAAAGCCCGGTATCATTCGAGGGCCAGATCCGGACATGAGCCTAACGAGTGGGGGCCACATCGTCGAGGTTGAGAAGGGCAAGTTCATTCGAACAAGTGATTTGGTGTCGGCGGAGGATCCACCTTCCCTGACCGTGGAGGAGAGGGTTGGCCATGCACATATCCTCGATCACTCTGTCGCTCCTCGGCGAAGATTGACCGAAAAAACTGCCTTGTCTGCTTTGTCAGCGGAAGAGCTTCAATGCCGACTTCATAGAGGCCAAGCTTGGGCGAATGAAGAGTTCGGTCGACTGAGCAACAACTTGTCGGAGAATGACGGGTTGGTTGGCATGGTCTATGATCTGGACCAAGAAAATGAGCACTGTTCAGGTGGCAGAAGAAGAGGAGCCGTTTCTCCAGACTCGGACGGTGAGTCTTCAGGAAGTGAGGAGGACGCTGCCACTCTGGAGATCAACAACTTTGATGCCAACAAGGCCATTCAGCGGATCACGGAAGACCAAACCAAGGAGATCATCGCTCAAGCTCAAGAGAAGGGGGAGCGTGCTGAGCTCATCCCTGGTTCACTCGCAAGGCGGGGGACGGCAGCTGAGGTCGAGAATCGTGCGCTGTGGGAACTACATGGAAGCGCGCTCTGGGGAGGAGATCTATGCTTCTGGAGCTGATTCAACGCAGTTGCGAGCTGTGCTTCGGGTCGCGTCGCTCAACCAGTGGGAATGCTTGTCCCTGGGCGCGAAGTCCGCTTTTCTTTTGGCACCAAAAGCTCAAGGAGAAACGGTCATTGTCCGACCGCCAAAAATTCTGGAAGAAGCCAAGCTCGCCAAGCCTGGCGAGCATTGGCTAGTCACCTCAGCCATGTACGGACTCATTACATCTCCCAAGGACTGGAGCTCTTTTCGAGACGCTGAGCTTCGAAAGATGGTGGGCTCTTTGTCAGGTGGGGGTCAAGACCAAGAGGATGGGGGAGTTCGCCAATTTGCCTTTCGTCCGATGGAAGACCCAAATCTGTGGGCTATTCAAGAGGTGAAATCGATGGCGGAGGATGGGTTAAAAACCTGGGGAGCTTTTCTTGGCCATATGATTGCGTATGTCGATGACATCCTGATGGTTGGTCCCAAAATGGTCACAGAGGCCGCTTCCAGCACCATTCAACACAAATGGTCCACCTCATCACCGGAGTATGCCCTTGTTGACAGTGCTCCTTTGAGGTTCCCGGGCATGGAGATGGGTCGTACTTTGCGCACCAAGGATGCAAAACTCGGGAGATCATCGATCGACACCAGGGCACTTCATCGTCTCCCTTCATCAAGGTGCCGGAGGACATGGAGGAGGAAGAAATTCCGTCGTTGCCCAAGGTGAGGGAGGCCCAGAAAGTTACAGGTGAGCTGCTTTGGCTGTCAGGGAAGGCTCGGCCTGACATTTCCTGGGCCGTTATGCATATGGCTCAATGTGCTGTCAAGAAGCCTCGCTGGACCATTTTGCTGGGACAGGCTGTTCTGGCCTACATTAAGCACACGGTCAACTATGGCCTGCACTACTCCAAGGAGGTGCCGGTGGATGCTGACCCTGACCTTCAAAGAAGGAAACCGCGACACCGTGGCACTCTGGAAGTCTTGGTGGACGCTTCATTTGGCCCGGGCGATGGTCATAGTATCACAGGAACGATTGTCCTGCTAGCAGGAGCTCCGATCCAGTGGGAAAGCCACAAACAGAGCTTGATGTCGCTGTCGACTGCGGAGGCTGAACTGACGGCCTTGGTGGAGGGGTTGCACGGAAGGTCCGTCAGGGCACTGGTCTCGCTGCTGCTTGAGAAGGTGGAGTTGGAGCTCTTCAATGACAACAGGGCCGCCATCATCTTAGCGTCGGGATCTGGAGGAGGCTGGCGAACGAGGCATTTGAAGATTCGGGCCAGCACTTTGGCCGAAGCGGTGAAGCTGAAAGAATTGTCGCTGGATCACCGCCCTGGCACCTCTCTGTGGGCTGATGCTCTCACGAAGGCGCTTCCGACCCAGTCATTGGAGCGTTTCTGTGCAGGGATTGGTCTTGGAGATTCCGAGATGTTCAAGGAAACCACGGAGAAGAAAGACAGGCATTCCACGCCCTCTCAGGACAGCATGAAGCTGATGAAGTCAATCTCTTTGCTGGCCGTTGGAGCGTCGATGATGCCTGGATCAATGGCGGCTGAAACTCCGGCTGAAGGTCAGTGTGCCTCAACTCCAGAATCTTCTAGTTGGGTGGATCACGGATGGCTTCTGATGCTTGCTGGACTGGTGTGTCTTCTCCACCTTGCGAAAGATTTGGGCTGGAGCTTAGCGAAACGGCTGGTTTCCAAGGAGGAGGCTTTTGAAGGTGACGCTTCTCAATGATCAAGCTCATTTGCCCGTGAAGGGAACGCCTGAAGCTGCCGGGTGGGACTTAGCTTCATCTGTGGAGGCAGAGCTGCAGCCAGGGGAAAGAAGGCTCCTACCTTTGGGCATCGCTCTTGAGGTTCCTTCCGGGTGCTATGGAAGGATTGCCCCCAGGAGTTAATTTGCCTGCAGGGGAGTTGATGTGGCGGGTGGCGTGATTGATGCTGACTACCGCGGGGAGATCAAGATCATTATGGTGAATAACGGGACAGAGGTCTTAAGGGTCCACCAGGGTGACAGGGTTGGTCAGTTGATTTTGGAAAAGATTGTTTCTCCTCCTTTGCGTTCCACCAGTTCTTTGTCTTCTACCCGTCGAGGCGATGAGGGCTTCGGTAGCACTGGTGTTTCTATCAGGCGGCTAGGTGGAGGCTCTTCAGATCTGAACGAAAGCTCGTCACCATCGCTGGAACCGTTGACGGCCGCTGAGAGTCCAGCTCGAACGATTGCTTTGGAAGCTGCCCCCACTCATGTTTTCTTTGAAGATGTGCACCTCTCCAGGGAAGGGGAATCCATGGCTCAGTTTTTGGCCAGGTTGAAAAGTCATGAACTTCGGGATCAAGGTGTTTTCGAGGGCATGCTTCGACTTTTCAGTCTGTCACTTCCCATGGCACCATCCAGATCGTGATGCACAAGCACGAAAACTGGAGAACAAAGCTGTTTGACACCGAGGTTGGTGCACCTTTGCCATCAGGAGGCATGTCTGCGGGCGTCGTGACGATTGGCCACTTTCAGGAGGGCGGTATGTTCCTCCGTGTCGACAATCGAAGGGGAAGTCGCTCCATGTGCTACCTGAAGTCGAGGTGGAAGGGCGCCAGCCTGTTCTTTTCCATCGGCAGCACGCCGGGGAGCTCCCGGTAGCGCTTTGAGGAACTCAAGGGTGACTTGCTGAGAGGCCTTGTAGCGTAGAACACCTTCTTTTTTCAGGCCACACGCATTCGAAGGGTGAATGTAGCTGTGAAGCTTTGTGGAGGTGCGGCTTTTTCAATGGCCTTTTTGGCATAGCGTCATGTGCCGAGCCATCCTCAGAAGGGCTTGAGTCAACACTTTTGGTTGCTGTGCTGGTGCTCCCGTTTCAGGATTCCAATTTCATTGGAAGGGGAGAGTCGAAACGCCAGCACTTGCTTTTCGTTGTGGTTGTGAGCTTGAAGGGTTCACAGTTGATGCACATCTGAAGCCCTTTTTCTTTGATGGAAAAAGACAAAGAGCGTCTTACGCTTTTGAGATTACGACCCCCCCAAAAAAAGGGCGATAGGGGCAGCCCCGTTATCAATACGGTTCTCACATTACAAAGCTTTCTGTTGGACCCTTCGTCTGTGTGATCAGCTCTGCTCACGCCGAGCTATCACGCCCGGGGACGTGCTTGAATTATTGGCACTGTTTCCACACCGCCACACCGAATTTATTCCCACCTCCTGCGAGGTCTGGCCCATAGGCCAACGCACCGGAGCCCCACGCGCGCCATTCTGCAACTGGAGCCAACAGCCCACGGCTTCAACGCATACCACAGCAAAGGAATGAACACGCAAAAACAATCAAAAACATCTCCAGGCGCTTTGCATTCACCCGCCGATTCTGGACGTTAGAACGGGTGACCTGAAACATTTTTCCGGGAGGATATGATACTGCTTAACGTGCCTTGCATGACAACTAGAAATTACTGCCCCGTGCAACCATCTTGACCCTTGAACCCAATGAGACTGCGGCAGTTCGTTCCCCCCCCCTGCAGCGCATGCAAGAAGGCCCCCATACCCCATGAGACCAATGCATTACAGCCCTGGAACGTAACTTGGCCCCCTGGGAGCGCACGGCAGACCTCTCTCCTTGCCTCGCTTCCTTCCTGATTCCCTTGCCAATCAAGGCCCCTTGCTTGCTCTCTAGTCCTCACCTTGGTTGTGGCTTCATGTAGCAGAACACATCATTGCAAGATCGCGCCCTTCACTTGGTGGGGACCTGTAGGCATGTAGCCAGAATCCAAAATGCAAAACACCATGTACTGTACTAATTATGCTAGGCACTAGCATACACACCCTCGCTCACCACTCAAAGCTTTGTTCACGCCACGCTCTCTTGGTGCAAGCAGTGGGCAGCCGGCCGGCAGCTTTCATCAATGTTCATTCAGCAAAAATGTTGAGTATACAGGCGTAACTGGCAATGTCGTTGTTAGAGCCCATTGCGCTCTTTCTTGCCCAGATCTTCTTTCACATACTGGCGCCCTCACGGCTGACTTAATTCATTCTCATGCGCCCCTGTCCTTCAACAGGAAGAAGATCCCCAATTCCATCAGCTCCAGCTGGAACAACAACAAGATCTTCATCGGGGAGACTTCGCGTGCAACACAACAAAGGCAATCTTCGATCGAGCCAGCAAGTGAGAGAGAGAGAGAGAACAATGTCACGAGCAACACGCGCATCGGGAGAGCGCGATCGTTGGGACGGAGCAAGAGTGTCAGGACTGTGACACTGCCGAAGACAACGGGGTGCGCCTCTTGGCATTGTTGATGGCCTCTTGCTACTATTGATCATCCGCCCCCTCGGCACGTGTAGAGGTCAATCAAAGCCTTTACCTCTTTCATTGCATGTTGCTCTGGTTGTACGTTCTCACAACCTTCTCAAACTTGTTGCTGCAGGAGATGAGGATGATCTCGATGCTGGCTGAGCGGCTGGGTCAGTCAGGGTCTTCTTTAGATTACAAGGGTTGATGCAAAGTAATCGGCGTTCCTTCACTCTACAAAGCTCCACCTCTAACCCTCCTACACCTACAGTGGACCTACAGCGCATATGCATTTACATTTCACACACATCAACTCAACTTTACCAAGCTCAGTCCTGCTGGTCATTGCTGTGAGAGAAACGCCAAGGGCACACGACCGGGGATCACATGTGTCTCCATCATTCTCTCCTCCTCGTTCTTCCCGCTGTTGATGGCATCTCCTGACAAACCTGTGATGGAGTGTCCGAGTGTCCCTCATCAGAACCTTTGCAACATCATACCCCACTTCTTGCCGGAACCACTGCTCGCCACATGCAGTGGCACGTCAACAGCCTGCAAGGCAGGGGGTAGGTCGCCAACCTGACCTCCTCCATGTCCATCAGGTGAATACAACAATCCTTGGGGCTCCTTGATGGGTCAATGCAACTCGAGAAGGTCCCGAAGAGGACGGCAACATACACATATTTTATATTGAGAGCCACGCTCTGGACGTGGAATGACCGGCCCGGGCTGGCTCGTGAATTCAGCCCCTTCCCACGGGATCGATGAGCTCCCGCAGCTCGACTTGCACAAATCACCCGACTCCCAGGTCCCACGACACGTACCCGCTGGTTGGTGTGGAGAATTGCGAAGTAAATCAGCTCACGCCGCACCGCCGCACCTAGCCATCCCTACAACCTGTATGCTAGTTGTTCTGCTAAGGGGTACCCGCTCGCGCCCGCGAAGAGAAAACGGTAAAACAAAAAAACATGTTGATTTGTACCGTTTTTGCCATGCGTGTGGTACAAAAAAACATAGGGCGACCGACCCCCCAAAAAAAATTGTAAAACAATTATTATTTCTATTGTATTGTTTTTACCGCGTGTGCGGTAGAATAGAAAAAGTTGACCCCCCGTAAAGACATTTGTATATTATATGTATATATACGACTTTTAGACAAAAACGGCGACCCCCCGGAAACAACGATTAAAATCCAAAAGTTATATAAATGTTGATGTTTGTCGGTTATATAATTCCGCGCAAATCCGCGCAGGTGCCTCGAGGGAACCCCGTAGCCCGAGCAACACCGCTAAACCAGCACAGTGTATCTCAGGTCCGTGTGAAAATTTGGAAAACAACAACGCCGAGAGCGCACCCAGCCGTCTGGGACAAGAGACCGCCCTCACGCCTCACGGCCCGTACCGCAGGTCGGTGTAAAGCAGTTGGGATTAACCACATGGAGCCCAAAGCCAACCGTCGAAGTGATGACATCTGCGCACCCAAGCCTTCCGTGGATGTATCTCACTGTTACGCTCACTTGCAACCCATCCAAATTGGTCAGAAGAGCTCGGAAGTGAATGGCAACTTTGCGCAGGCTATGCGATTTCAAACAACCCACCGCCCACATACGCTGATGAAATGCTGCACGAAGTTGCTGGGCTATATTTTTTGTTTGGTTCAGCAAGTAAGTTGGACATTCGAGCTCGTGCTGAAATCACTTTTGACCGATGAAACCTCTCTTCTCCAAGCCCGCCAATGATCCAAATTGCCTTCGGCAATGGGAAACATGAAGGGCCACTACGGGAAAAGATAAGTTACAGGCACTGTGGGCATCCACGCTGAGGTGTGCACCGATTTCGGCACATACAAAGGCGATTTAAAAAACAAATGCCAACAAAACGTGCACATTTTGCCTCTCGGCATCACATCTGCGCGGAAAAGCCCACTCTGCTGGGCTTTGCCATGCAGCGGATGATTTAGTCGACTGAGTCCACGATCTGAGGACTATTGGCGCCAATGCTGCGCCGCAGCTAACTTCCCGCCCCTCCCAAGAAGACGCTGGCATATATATAGTCATAAACAATACCGTCCAGTCACGGTTGTGTCGGCGGCTATGTTTTCCGTCGTCGCGTAAGCTCACATCGCATAAAGCAGCACAAAGTGTTGATAGAGCACTGCAGCTATGGCATCTATGGTATGCTTTTGGCTATGGTTTGCTTAGCTTTGTTCGGCGTTGGTGATGGCAATCTTTTCAGGCGGGCTTCTTTCGTAGGGCATGAATGATTTCCCTTGGGTTTGTTGACAGTCAGTTTGCTTGAAGTTTCTGTGCATTTTCCATATTGGACGTTCCTTGACCTGCTCCTGAGGTTTCTTTCAATAACTGGCAATCCTTATCGAGCATGCTGTAAGCCCCATCAATCTCATAGCGCCGATTTCTTCGGGCTTTTGTTTTGGCTCCGCTTCTTCAAGATCTTCAAGCGTGTCCCTGTTGGTGTATAATGGCTTTGGTTCCTGGGCGCCGAACATGTTTTGTGCAGATGCTACCTTCTCTGCCCAAATCTACGGCCCCCGTGCTCAGCCAAACCCATCAGCTAAACAAGTTGCTGGTGCGCTGACGTTGCTTTTCGCGTGTGCTGTGCGAAGGTGTGGAAAGGCCTTCATCTCCTTCATCAGATCATGAGTAGCATGAACATCCCAAGATTTCTGAACCAATAGTTTGGAACAATTAATGACGAAAAAGGATGCTTTAGGACCTTAGGATGCTTCTGGTATTTTGTGGACATTGCATTCCTTTGGTTCCTCGTTTCCTTGCTTTGCTGCTGTCTTCCCTCAATCTGCTTGCGCAGCTTGTTTTCTCCTTCTTCTGTTGTCTTTCTGTTTGGAATTTTGCCTGTTCCGTGTGCGCTTCTTAGTTTGGTATTGCCTGGGCCTAACAAAACTCAAAGGAGGAAGACCCGGCCGCCACCTTCTCTGTATTAAAAATCAATCACTGACAGTCAACGCACAGTCAACACGACAGTCAACACACAGTCAACACGACAGTCAACACGAGCACTTTTCCTGAGAATTCTC